GGTCTCTTCTACTACCGGCGGTATTCTTACTAATAGTATTAAGTATTATTTTTAAAGAGGTTAATAGGTGTTTGTTCTCCTTTTTGAATTATTAGTTCTTTATAAGGGTTTATTGAAAGTTAGCGTTAGAAGTGTAGAAATTACTATTAGAAGCTAGGGAGTTAGGGTCTCTTCTATCGGCGATTTTTTTAGATAATTTAGCCGCGACCGAACTAAAGCGGTCGGCCTAATTTTTAAAAATAGAGAGGTCCTTATCGGCGCGATTAAATATATTATTAAAATTATTAGATTATTCAATAGCGGTTATAAAAGAAGCAGTACGAATACGTATTTCTATAAATATAATTTCGGAGGAACTTTAAATTAAAGTAATAAATTATTTATAAATTATTAATTTATTAAAGGATTTGGCCTTTGTATTGCCTTTGCCCTTTGAAATTATAAGAATAAAGGGTATAAAAATATTTCCATTGCAATAGAAGTAATCGAATAGACCATAGAAACATTCCTTCAAATCGTAAGTTAGTACTTCCTTATTGAGAAAGTAGTACGTACAATGAACGATAGGTTATACGTAATCGAAATAGTATTTATAGAGTTCCTTAGGGGCGAGGTTCGATAAATCGAGTTCTTCGTCATTATTATTATTAATATTAATTATATAGAAGGCGGCGCCTTGAAAATTGGGACTAATAAAATCGTTAGGATTAAGGGATTTACATTTAACTTCGGAGGGGGGGAGTTTACCCGCTTTAGGAGTATGCTTCCTCAAAATATTAGGGTCAAAATAGACGTAGCGCTATTGCGTAGCTTCGGTATTATTACGAGCTATTACGGTAGCGGTTTCTTCTTGGTAATTATTAACCTAGTCGTAGATCGGTTTAAACTCCTCTTCAGAGTTCCTCAAAAGGGAAGGGGGCGATTACGATACGCTACGCGTCGAATCTTTAGCTTTACCCTAGTCGTTAGTTCTAATCGCTACGTCGCTACGCTGTAGCCTTTCTTTTAGTAGGATATTTAATACCGTCCCCGGTGGTGAAATGAGTCGTAAATGGTGTAAAGGTACGTAACGGGCGAGGCAGGGCTGTAGTGTTATTGACGTTCAATATAGAATTTACGATTAAAGAGTAAAATAAAAGGGAAGAGTTTGTGCGGGCAGCTGGGCTGGAAGATATGCCTCTAGACCCAGGTTGCTCGGACCACTCTTCTTATCTAATCTACAACCAATTAGGTTGTTCGTATCCGAGCGATTGTGTAGCTCGCATCCGAGCGATCGTGTAGTAATGTGCCTGGGCATGGGTCAGCGGGGCTGGGCCATGACAGTAAATATATTACGAGTCCTACTAATAAGGCCGAGGGAGAGTTGGAAACTCGTTACCCGGTAATTTAGAATATCCTTCGTTATAATCTTTATTATTACAATCGTTATTAAAATTAAATATAAAATTACCCTTATCGTTATTAATATTTAACTTTAATTTATTAAGGAGAGGGAGGATACATAAAGGTAGACGATCTACAGAATTAATACCTACTAGAGGGTGGGCTAGTACCGGCTAGGCTAGTACCGGTTAGGTTAGGCGGGCTAGTACTAGCTAGACGGCCGCTTTATTAGGAGATAAATTCAAAATTACTAAAAGATTTATTCTTAAAATACCTTAATACTATAGTTAAAGATCTAATAATAATTGTGTTCAACAATGTATTATAGTAAGTCTGTCTTAATTCCTTAACACACAATGTAGAATTGCTGATTTTACTAATAAAAAAGGCACTTTTATTATCGGCGATCGATTGTATAGATATACTGGCTAGCGCGTACTTGGCGGTAGCAATAAATCACGAAGTACTGCAAGTCTCCCCCAGTCTTGGCAAAAATGGTCCCTTTTCACCGTTAAAGGGATAAGGACTGCTAGGTGTTCGAGGCCAATACTGTCCCCCCTTTTTTGACTTCAGGGCCATACCCCACTGTTAGTGTGCACTGTCGAGAAACCAGGTCTTCTTAAACCATCGAACGAAAATGGAAGTTGTCGGTTTGAGACAAATCCCAACTGGCTCGTCGCGTCCCACTCTTCTTCAGCAGCGAGAGACCCTTATCTTGCGGAGGTTACGCTGATCAGGGTTTCTGTCATCCAAAAAATAAAAGGGGGGAGGGGACCAGCCGCGGTGACGACATACCTATATGACCACACGACCAGACGAATATGCGACAGACAAGTTAACGACAAGAACGACAGCAACAACAGTATATACTTGCGCACTTGCGTCTGTAACCATCAGTTATTCCGCCCGTTTCGCCGTACCCCGATCCAATTCAGTTCGGCTGGGTTTCCACACGACTACATACGGTTTAGCAGGGTTGGAGGCCGGCCGGGTTGCCCACGTCCCCCACGGCCTTCCCAAACAAGAATTTGCTTACCAACCGCCCGCTTGTTACTCGCTTGCTCGTTCGACTTGGATGCCCTGGATACGCTCGGAGTTTTCCCAATACTTTGCGATCTCTTCTTCCTCAAGCGAGAAAAAGACTACACTAGACACCAGTGTAGACTAAACAGAGTTGGGAAGCGATCGGATGGTTGCTCATCGCCTACCTTATTCAGTGAACCAGATCCTAGTTCTCGATAGGAGGACTGTTGTGGACGAAATGAATCGACAACTCTCAAAAACGCCATTAAACAGGAAAGAGGAACCCGCTAAACGGCGACCTGAATCTAGGTTGTTCGTTGACGCGTCTTGAATGAGACGTCGTTGCGACATATAAGTTTAGGCAAGTAGTTTTGACGTCGTTACGTTCGGCCGCCGACGACGGCGACCACACCATCATTACCACAGTGACAACTACCACCATAGGAAACACAGCCAAGGACAAGCTCCTGACTTTCTCACGGTGCGCATAAAAAGTTCAACAGGTCTAAATGTACTAGGTAGGAGAACAATGCTGGTCCTCGGTATTGCACTGGTTCCGGCTCTCTGGGTTCGAACTACCAGTGTCAAGACGGCACAAGGCATAAAAACAAATGTCAGGGCGCGGCACGGACGCTGATAGCATGGGAGAGCTTCACAGCTCTTGCAGCTTTGCTCCCCACCACAACCTCAAGGGTTTGCACATGAGGTGCGCCAAACACAACAATCCTTTGAGGAGTTGTATGTAGATGCAGTCCCGGCTGCACGACCCCGCGCGCGTCGGCGGCTGTTTTGCCAACAGGAGACGGGTATCCCCACATCCTTGAAATGATTGCCGAGTCGAGTCGAGTCGAGCGTCAGCGAGCGGGCGCCGTGGTGGTTGCCCTCAAAGACATGGCAAAAAGGCATGCGGCCGGCGTCTCTAGACTAGTAGTGTTAGCTGCAGAGATGATAGTCACGACGTAGGCAGGCTGTATGCAAGTACCTGTCTAGCGTCGGCGTCTCTGCATCTTGTGAAAAACAAAAAATGGATGGGTGGTTTTGAGACTTGGCCAAGTCGAGAAGGAAAATAACAGCCCGAGCAACAATGATTGACCTGACGATGGCGTCGCCGTCGATGGTGTTTATCGACAGCTGAGAGAGGAAAAACACACGGTAATCAACTGGAGCGTCTCTATCCTTACACCGATACACTTTAGCGAAGGAGCCAAAGAGACGGAAAGCTCTTTAAACGAACACCACAACTTTACGGTGTACCAATAACCCCTGGAAGACACAAGACATGTGAGGCGGCGGCTCAGAGACTCAAGACATGGCTGCAGGGTCTCCAAGCGGCCAAGAAACCCCAAGGAGAGGAAAGAAATCGAAAAGGAAGCGAGAAAAGGAGTCAAGCTACTGACAAGCTGGTGAACCTTCACGGTCGTCGTGATGGTCTCATGGCTCCCCCAAACTCCACCGTACAACAGCCCTGGACCACGCATCAGTGGGTAACCCATGACATTTCCCCTAGGTGCGCAATGTACCGTTCCATTCCCTTATGGAGACCCTGTGGACATGCCCCCTTCACACAGTTTTGCTCTCCATCACCGTTGCATCCGGCCTATCCTCGCTCGTGGTTGCAGCAGAGCCGGGCAGGCTTTGGCGGGTGAGGAGAGGGGACGCCCTTCAACCATTAATAGATGCCATTGGCGCTCTGCTTGCATGTCTCACAGGCTCCGCTTGCGCGAGCTGTCTATCTTTTTTTTTCTGTTTCGTCGTTACTCTTTGCAGCTTCGCTCCTTTCGTTGATTCGGTTTCCGCACCTGACCAACCAGTGTTCTGATATGTGATGCAGTGGGCCAGCTTGCTCTGTGTTGCTAACTTGCTGCTGTCCACTTAATTCCTTGTGTTGCCCAAGAGCTGAGTGTAAGCCGCGAGGATATTAAGTCTTGTCGCCACATACCAGCCGTTATCAACTCCCAAAAAAGTGTCAAACCTACACGACAAGGACCTACCCAGGTACTCGCCCCCCCTCCCGTCCTCACCTAGAAACAGGCTGCTCAGCCTGCGCAGGAGTACAAACACCCAGTAGTGGCCCACTCCCCCGCAGTCATCGAGAGAGCTCGAGCGGCGAAGCACCTAGTAAGCAGCACACCAACTGTACTGCCTACTTGGGTCCAAACTCCGATTGCAGGACTCCGGCGCAACGGCTCGATTGCCTAAGACATCCCCCCTCGTCGAATCCCCGACAAGATATTCACCGACAGCAATTTCGCAACCTAGTCGACCACTAGGGGTTCAGAAGGAGGAAGAAGGAGCCGCATTGTTGGCCATGAGGAAGGCTCAACGGTGAAACGTGGTAAAAGAAGGGCGAAACCAGGCGTTCCCCGGGATTATCCAAGCAGGCGCAACACCAAGAGTGGAAGATATACGGACTCAGTAGTGCGTTTCGGTTACACTTGGCTTGTAACCAGATGGCTTGGGAGGGACCCCGATAACGCATACATATACCACCATTACCAACCCGATTATTCCGACTTCTCGACAGCGCTGACAACACTTCGCTTTCCGGGCTTTCGCAAACCAAAGGTGTTGTAAATCAAGGCGGCGCAGACGAGATGCCGAGCATATGGAAGTCGGGCTCAAACGCCGGCCGGGTCAAGGCTAGCAGCAAGTCCATCCGAGGGACCATATCGGGACCGATACCAATACCAAACGCCCTAGACGACGACAACGAATTCCCCATTCGATCTTTGGGCACAATCAGGTCCACAAATGCCGAAGACGAGTTTGGTGGTACCCAGAGACCAGGGACTGGCAGGATTGCAAGCCCAGCAGCATCAGCATCAGCAGCAGTTGAGGCGGCCGAAGGAGGAGCGCTGATGAAGGAACAGCTCTTTGACAATCGGCATCATGGTGAGAGTAGCGACAGCGACAGAGAGAGAAGCCCGGGTTCGAGGCAGGGCATCATCTCGGCAACTGCCGAGGTTTCAGGGGCGAATATGGGCGGGAATGAGGTTACTGAAGTAATCTCCCAAAGACCAAAAGCGCCATCAGACCCTCCACCACTGCTGCCACCTCATTCTGCCGGTGCTACATCGTCATCAACAGAAAGACAACGGACGCCGCAGAGAATCTCTCCGCCGCAAACGTCATCGCCACTGAGAACGACGCCGGTGAGGGTTAGGACGACACCGACAATGGGACGGATCACGAACCCCCCTCAGAGCACAGTTTTGCGATATTCGACCATTAGCGATACCCCGAGTGGGCAGACCAACAACAGCAAGGGACAACCACAAAGGAAGCAGTCCACGCTGCGCTCGGCACTGGGCAAATTATTTGGACGAGGAAAGAAGAAGAATGGGTTGGCGGCTGGAGAGCAGAGAAACCTCCCCAATTCCGGGCGCGAGTCTGTTCTTTTGGAGTCTTCTCAGCAGAAGAGTGTTAGTAACTTTCGTAGCATTCATTCTGGTGGCGCTAACAGACTGACTGACTGACTGTTGAACAGGACCCAAGTGCGCTTCATCGGATGACGGAAACGTCCCCCAAGCGATCTGCCTCGCTTCCCCTCAGTGAGCTTGACAGGCCACTGCGTTCGCATTCCATCGGGCCAGACGACATCCGGGCTATCGAAAGCGCTCGGAATTCACTCCAGGCTGATATTGGCGGGAACCCCGGATCTATCGCAAGGCGGCGCGCTGCAGCAGCAAATGCAAATGAGCGCCGGTTCCTGTATGTGCCGCGCTTTCCTGAAGCCGAAGCAGGTGCCGGCCTTTCGCCACGACCTGCCAGTAGCCACGGGCGTGGAAGTCGATTGTTTGCTGGAGCTCCACGCGGGGAACATGATGACCCAAGTGAAATCGGGCGCGCCATCACCAGCGATAGTGGTAGCCATGGCATGCGACGCCGATCACGGAGCCTTTCTGGACTGCCGGATATCTTGGTTGCGGGAATTGGGCGGGCGCCGGAGCGCCGCCGCAGCGACGAAATCCGATACTGGCGTGAGTCCTACAATGCGGGATTCCACTCGCCATTATCATCGGATGCGCACGTCAATGCCGATATTGACAACGACGGTGTAGCAGATCTCAGCGTTCCCACAAGCCCCGCAGTCGAAAAACCCCCGGATACGCCCCCGCAGCCGTTCAACTTTGGATCCATCTCGAAGCAGATGGTGGGAATGAAGATCACTCAAGTGGCAAGCATCGACACCCGTCTCGGAACCCTCGAGACGCGAACCGGAAAGTTGGAGCGGGTTGTCGACCAGCTCTGTCACGTAGTTCCCGGGTTCAGGGGCCCGCTCAGCGATATCTCGGCGGTTGGAGGAGGGAGGGGAACCGGAGGACCGGGAACCATCAGAACTGTCTCTGATGGCCGGCCTTCGTTCACATACACGGCTGCCTCGCCACCGCCCCCTCCCATTTTCCCCGTTCCACCACGTCAAGGACAGCAACCAGCTCATTCCCAGTCCGACATCAGCCGCTCTCCACGCGCCAGCAGCGAGCGACAGTCGATGGATTCAGACACACGCTCACAGATTTCGTTTGGCGAAGCTCAGACCTTCAATGGCTTTCTCCATCTGCCCTCTTCGTCAGCCACCCAGGCACACTCCTTAACCACCGCTACCACGCCCACCACGGCAGCGACTCTCAGCACCCCATCTCACCCGGAGCACCCCACTGACACAGACCGGGACCGACCAACTTCCAACTCCACCATCCGCGGCGTTGCCAGCATGCCTTCGATGCACGAACACACCACGACGGCCTCCATCAGTGAATACTCATCCACCAATGCCCACGATCCGACCTACTACAACCAGTATCACGCCCTCATCGGTCAGCTAGAAGCGGAGCGGCAGGCCCGCCAGGCGCTCGAGGGGCAGGTGAAGAAACTGTCAGACCGCTTGAACGCATTATCGAGTACCATGTATGCTTTAGTGAGGGATAGCGGGTCTTGGGGGGCACCTGATCCGTCCAGTCCCAGATCAGCTTTAGGTGGTGGTGGTGGAGGAGGAGGAGGAGGAGGAGGTAGAGGTAGAGGGTATCCACCGTCACACATCCCGAGTGTTTTCGACTATGATAATGACGATGACGATCACCATCCTCAGCAAGGAGACGACGAGGATGAGGAGGACGATATCGACGACAATGTTGGTCCTGTTCGACATGGACATCACAGTGTTGGAGTCGTGTCCAAGGCAAAACTGGCTTTGGTCGCGAAACCTACCTCTAGAGGTAGCGGCGGCGGCGGCGGTCGTGGTCAGGAAGACGCCGAGGCAGGAGACTTCCAAACGCCGAGAGAAGAGTTTCATACGCCGATGACGCCGACGTCTCTTTATACTTATGGAGCTTTCAGTCCTGATCATGAGCTTGAGAGCGTTGGCGACGAGACAGAGTCTGGCGGGGATTCCTCCGATACCAGGGCGGAGAAGAAGCAGAAGAAGGCAGCTCGGACATTGAGTTTGAGTCAATTGACGATGGGTAAGAGGATCTGAGAGAGCGGGTGTAACGAAGATGGGAGTTCACCAGCAGCAAGACCGTCTCCTGCCTCGTCAAATCCCTTGACGTCACGTACGTTACACCTTCACGACATGGCCGTCTTGGATGATCCTCAGTCACGGAACTCAAACAGACGACTCACTCGGCTCGGGCATCACGAATGGATCCAGTCAGTCAGTCAGCCATTGAGGGAGTCACTGCGCGGACTTTTGGACAGACAACAAACAAATACAAACACACATGACTGAGGAATGAGACGAAACCGTGTCACCTACCTACTCACCCTCTACATCTACCTACCTACCTCAACCTGCCGATGCACACCTTTCTCGTACCTACCTACCTACCCACCACCTTTCAAGCTTCTTGAACCCCTTTTATCCCAGGGCTATAATACGAAAGTCTTATGTTTCACCCCATGACGACCAGGTCGCCTTGTTTTATCAACAGCAACAACATTCATCTTGCGGCGCATCCAGCATGCGCACGCATGAACTTCTACGTTTATACCTTACCTCTCTTCAATATTTCAACCCCATACTCTATTTGTGCTCGACACTTTAACCTCCAGTTGATATTTTTTTGTCTCATTATTGGAGCGGCATAGCCTTGATTTTTTACGTCATTACGTGTACGATTATATTTTAGCAGTTACGGACACATCATGATGGATACCCTTTTTGTGGTAGTGATGTAGTTGGATACCGTTGCTTTCGATTGCAATTATTTCTTCTTTTGGCATATTGCATATATCGTTCTGGTGTTACTGGGAGTTTTTCTTCATGGAAATGGATCTCTTTTTTTGAAATTACAGCGCCTTGATTCAACCTCTCTTATCGTCCTCTATTGTAATATCTTTTTTTTTTCTTTTCTTCTTCTTTCGTTCCTGGCATCCTTAGCACTAAGCATTATCTCTTGGACGGGTTGACAAATCTGAATTTGATACGGCTTTGAACTTATACCCATTGTTTTCTTGGGGCTAGCGCTGCGTGAATGAAACATGACCATTGAAAATAAGCAGCTACTGTAGAAAGTGGGACACATGACAAAGCAGTGAACACAAAGAAAGACAGAAGGCAATGTAGTCAATGGGAATGGTATATCGTACAAGAAAACAACTGCCCTCAAGGCGTATATGTTCGACTTGACCCAAAATAACCCAACCCAAAACGCCGCTGTATAACCCGCCAAACCCAAGCGTAACACGTCTGTAACTTAGTCGACTTTCTCTCCCGTCTTCTCTTGTTCTCTAGGTACCATTGTCCTTCAAGCGGTATCTTCGGGCAACTCCTCCACCACCCTTTCTACCAGCTCGATCAGCTCATCGATATCTGGCCTCTCTGCGGGTTCGACCCTCAAACATCTCCTCACCACATCCCTTATCGGCTCGCTGATATAGTTCTCATCGTCCTTGTTGGTTGCCGTATTATCACCACCTGCACCTCCTCCCGCGCCCGCCTTGCCCTTGCCCTTGGTCTGTCCGGGACCCTCGTCAGGGAACCTCCAGTCGCCACTCAGTACGCAGATGCTCAAGCTGCCACCGGTCTCGTCACTGCGCATCTCAAAGGGCGACTTGCCGACCAAGCAGGCGTAGAGGGTACAGCCGAGCGACCAGATGTCCACCTTGGTATCGATGATGGTGCCGGTCTTGACATCGAAGAGTTCGGGGGCGCGATAAGGCATGGTGGAGTGTTCGGCTGCTATATCCTGGGTAGCTATGGCGAGGGAGCGAGATGTGATGGGAAGGGGAGAGACGGCGATGGAGCCGAGGTCCATGAGGATTGGGTCGCGGCCGGAGTCGGAGATCATAATGTTGCCTGTAGGACAAGTTAGAGTTAATAATGACATGGACGGACGTGTTGATAGGTGGTGTTAAAAACACGTACCAGGCTTGATATCCCTATGCGCGTAGCTCCTCGTCTCGCCTGACCCAGGCAAGCGTCTTTCCTCTTCGATCAGCGGCACTTGTTGCTCCGTCTCATCATCCTCATCCGCACCTCCCACCGCCGCCTGCATGGTCTTTGATTTTCTCTTTCCTGCTCCCGGCACTTCCATTGACTCCCCGCTTGTGTCCCCCGCTGCGCCACCTTTGTACTTGTGCATCCCCCTTAGCGCCTTGCACACTCCCAGGAAAAGCATCATGAGCCTCTTCTCCGGGAAGCGCGTATGGTTCACCAAGTTCGCATTGATCATATCCTGCAGGTTGCCGCGCCTGTAGTACGGCAACAGGACGTAGACGGTCTTGTCCTGCCCTTCGCTGCCGCGTTCCGTGGCAATGCTGTAGTCGACGTGGTGGATGATTCCAGGCGTGTTGCCGAAAAGCTTGTAGGCTTCTACTTCGTGCATGGCTTGGGCGACGGATTCTTGACCGAAGGGGCATCGGATCTTTTTTAGGGCGAGGAGCTCGCTTGTTGATGTGTCTTGGACAAGGTAGACGTAGGAGAAGCCGCCCTGGATGAGACTTGTGGTCAATACAGCTCAGAGCAAGAAGGGGAGGGCAACAGAGATGGGGAAACCGTACCTCGCCTAGTAAGCGCAAGATCTTGAAACTCCTATTGTTAATCTTGAGCGTGGGGGAGCCGGGAAAGCAGACCATGCAGTTGCCCAGCCAGTATATAAAGTCTGAAACTACTTGCGCCATGATGGGCTACTCGTGGGAATGGGCTATGTCTGGATTAAGGTGGTGATGCGTTGGCGGAACCGTTGTCGACTTTCTCGAACTGCTTTGCGAGTGACCGCCTGTATGATTCTGCGTGGTGACGGAGAGGGAGATGTGGGCGCGTTTAGCTTCGCAATGTCATCCGCTTAAGTTGTTTGGTCGCGCAACGCTCAGGTGAACTTGTTTGAGATCGAGTGGTCATGCACAATTGGCAGTCGACGTGGAAATGGTGCTTCCTCTGTGTGATGGCGACACTGCTTGATCGATGTTTGCGCCAAGTATCATGAAGAGGAAAGCCTCGATAGTTTGTCGCAGGTATGTTGTGTGTTCCGAGATGTTGGCTAGAGTTGAGACGTATGCGAATGTTAGATGCGATTGATGCTCAGGGAAGGTGCCTGTCAATCACAAAGCTAGGTACCACAGCTCTCACTAATTGAAGGTGGCCGGATCATAGCCCGCGATGTCCACTGCCAAGGATCCTGGGGCTGATTGGCCTATTAGTACCTATGGCTCCTGCGACTGCGGTTAAAGCCCGCCATTGTGAAGCTGAGGAATGTCTCCCAGCTTTCTGATATAGAGGAATGAACTCTATTGCAAGCCGCAGAGCTAGTAATTGCATCTTGAGAACTCGTTCTGAGACTTGAGATTTCTCCATTCTCAGTTCAACTTTTGAGCACAACCCTGAGTTAGTGAAGTTGCGTACTAACATATTCGAGGGTCTTTATAGGATTACTCCGACGAAACAGTCAGCTTCAGCGCCACAGCAACTGGACCCCCCCCCCTGGCCCTACGCTCTTCCGGGAGTCCCGGCACCGTAGCGTCCGAACCGCAGCGCCTCCACTCTCCAGGAACCTCAATGGTCCCAGAGCCCCGAGAGAGATGATAGGCTCTTATTTATCTAAATACATAGGTTCTTGTTGACGAGGGGATGTATTTGTGTTCTTCAAGAGAGTTATCCCCTTGCGATGCCTGTTGAAAACGGCAGGGAATTCGCAGACCACGATGGCATCATGTCGTCATTCTTATTGGGACTGAGACCCTACCACAACATACCCAACAAGGTACCCGCACAGCAGTTGTTTTGATTTCTCCTTCTCAGTCTGACTGACTTTAACTGCTCAACATCCACTCATCGAGGTACTGCTGGCCGGGAATGAGTAGCTCTTGGCTTGTCTCTTTGAAGAGAGACACTGAGATGGGTCCGCTCGTCGATCCGTTGTGACTCAGCACGCTTCAAATATCTCCGGTCATTCAACGACAGCAACTTCCGCGAAGACATATGTATAGTTCTCTGCCTTCATCTTATTCTTTGCCTTAACCTTAGCTGTCAGTCCACATGCTTTCTTCGAGGCCTCATATACCCTGGCGGTCAATATCAACATTCTTCTTGTTTTTACCTTGATGTAAATTTTCGCAAGTGACACTCTCGCTATCGGACGGATCAACTCCTAGATGAGTGTGATAGATGTGGACTGATGGATGTCTCCTTTCGCCAGATCTGATAGGTGCACTTCACACTCGATATACGTACTGTGACGGATTCCTTAACCTCTCTTTATATGTCTTTAGAGACTTTTCAGAGTTTTCTCAAGGTATTACCATCCTCCCTTTTCACCATACTCTTGCTCTTACCAACGGGTTATCGTGTAATCTCCCCGGGTATGATTACTTCACTACCAAAGACAGTACAGCTAGGATCACGGAACAACCACAACGAAGGAATTCTTTCGAACCTTGAACTTACAGCCAACGAACACAGAAAGGAACATTCCGCAAATCATCGTTCATGATGCTCAGTACTGCATAATACACCAGGCTACAATACACGCTCCCGCCCGCTCACTGCCTCCGACTTATGAGTTCTGCTCTCGCATACCACATACCAAAGCCAACGCGACCCAACCTGTTCTCCCTCCCATGTGATGATCCATTACCATGCCTTAATGCACTAATCTAGCCTTTCCGTTCCATCTCATCTTAGCCTATCCCGTCCTAACCCTAACCCTTCCCTTCCCTTTCAAATTTGCGTAGTGGTTTGGTTCCACTGCAGACAAATTCATTCCAGAAACCGTGTCTGGTATTTGTCGTTTTGTGTTTAACTTGCTTGAAGATGATTGATGGTGAGAACGATGTTGATAAAGTTCGGTAAGGATGGATATCGATCGATGGTGGGAAAGGTACAAAGAGTACGGATGCGTGGTTTTCAGTGTGCAGCGTCAATGAGAAAGAATGAGGAATGGTAGAGGGGTAGGCAACATAGATAGGTAGATAGGCAGATAGGTACGCCAAGCATCAGTTCATACGAGATGTTACCATCCATCGCTACACCTTCTCGCT